TTCTTCTCGATAAATATAAATGAAGTTTCATGTTTTTTTAATCCAAATTACATTTTTAATGTGTAATACGCTATGTGAGTATTGAAATGACTAAATTATTATTATAGTATTAATGAATAAAAATTATTTTTAAAATATTCTAATAATTTTAAAAGTAAAAATGAAAATATTTTAATTTTTTTCATAATATTTTATTAAAATAATATAATTTAATTTATTAAAAAAATCACCATTCTGTGCCGTTTAATTATTTTATTTCTCTTAAACTAAATATACTTTAAAGTTTAAAACTTGTTGGAAGAAAAAAAAGGGTGGAAATGGTGTCATGCTAGCTACGAATTTTTATCAAAAAGAATAGCTAATAACATGATTAAAATTCTTAGATGGGTGTATATAAATATAAAAAGGGAAAATCTGGTATGTCAGATATATAATAGGCTACAATAATAGTTAATCCTTTTTTTTCAAACTTTTCCTCACTCATCATAAAATTTGAATATGACACCACTGCACTAAGAACTGATTTCATAAATCTAATGACTTAGATGATTGTAATATTACAATTATTTATTTAGTAACCCCATTATTTTCATCTTCTCAACAGTTGGATTAATATAATCAAAATGATGTGCCCATTTTGATTAAAAGAGAGAGAGAGACAGACAGAGAGAAAAAAGGAACAACCAGGTGAAGAAGTCAAGGTGACAATCCTAGCTATTACTGCCATTTATAAAAATTGCATATCCAACCAAACATCGAATATTTTTAAGCTTAAACGAAACTGGTCTTTAATTAATTATAAAAGTTGGATTTATTGGTAAATAAATATTATAGGTCTGTACTAAAAAAACTATATATTATAGGTCAAATTTAAAATTTAATTCTTAAGATTATCACTAAAAATTTTAATTTTATTAAATACATTAAGTTAATATGGGAGGTGCATTTTTTAAATTATCTAAAAAAATTAATTTTAAGATATGTAAACATTAATTTAAAAATGTTTGGATCATAAATTAAAGAAAAAATTTGGTCTTGAAATAAATTTATATTTTCAAACGGTGACAATAAGCATTAATTTTTAAAGGACAATAATTGAGTAGGCTGTTGAAACTGGAAAAAA